GTTATGGTATATGTTGAATACCATAAGACTGAAAGTGCGCTGCCTTGGAGGGTAGCTTCAGAGATGCGCCATGCATTCGACTTTCGGGCAGAATCACAGATGTCTGAGGAGATGATTGTTCAACCTGAAATTATGATTTGAAGGAATCAGTAGGTGTTTCAGCCAATGTCTTTAGCCGCAGAGATGGTTCCCGGACCAGTCATTGGCCCCGGTTGGAGTAAACAGGAGGGAGTATTTGGTTGACCGGTGGGCGGGGCGCAGCCTTAACATGATATTCAAAGAATGCGATTAATATGAGGATTTTGAAGGAAATCAATCGTATTCTCCCAACTACATAAAGCGGCTGCTTGGATGAGCTTTCGGAATGGTCACCGGAAGCAGAAAACAAATTAATAGCCATTTTTGGCATTTTTCATCATTGTTTTTTATAAGATGACTGATTCGCATAGGGAGAGTTCCGCAGTACACTTCCGCTCGGCGTCCGTCTAAGGGTACGTGCGAAACGATCGCATTACGCCTTCGCTCGCGACCTCCACCCCTCTTAATATTTCTCATTTATTTGATTTTTCAACATAGTCGATGAATTTTCTTTTTCGGTGTTTTTTTAAGAATTGTTCCCCCCTTGCCAAACACCCAGCAATAAATATCGATTCGCTTCATTTTTCCGGTATACTTTGATCATTTCCACTTTTTCAGGTACGATCGGTATGATGGCGGCTTTTGGCGGTACCCCATTGTTGTACGTGTTCGATGTGCTGAATGTGGAGAAGTTACATCCGTTACCTAATAAAGAAGAAATAGGAATGGTTGTACTGTCCGCTCTTTTTGGTGGGTTCATGTAAAGGGCAAAATCCGTTGTTGGTCAATCCCTTCATGGGATGCGGCACGCGTTCTACTTCCATTCAGAAGTGTAGTAGCTATTGAGTGCGATGTGTCCTATACATTGACTTGCGGGGGCCGTACAAGTCGGTGTTCTTTCTTATCCTCCCAGACGAATCTGGTACCAATTTACCGTCTCCGTGGAGTAGGAGGCTTGGTTGGCATGGGAGGGAGCCGATCCTGGGTTTGGAACCGCGCGTGTGGTAAGTCTACACCATCTCCGCGCCCTAGAAGGTGAATTTTCAGGGCAATTTCTATTTCGATATGCAACTGCCTTACTTTGGTACTGATGTACGTTTCGGTTCGCCTAGTACAGTAGGTGTATGTTAAGTGTATGGAATTGGGTGATTTGATTGTTTCAAGTGTTTCTACTTGAAAATCCTGTTCTCTTTAATGAAAAAAGTGAAACGATGTAATGGGTTAATAGAACTGTCGTGAGAAAGTGTGCTAGAATTCTTCGGCAGAGTGTATAAGTTAAAAATAATCTGGGGTAATTTTTCGAGAACTAGCCACGCCTTCGACATTCACATGGAGGGGATTCGGGAAAGGGAGAGGGTTCTGGTTTGAGCGTAGACTAAGATGACTAGGTTTTCCCCTCCCATGGAGCCACCGAGTTCGACTTGTCTGAGAGGAGGAATACGCTGTCCGTGCTGATTTCCGATGTGAATGAATGTCAAATTCATGACATTAAGCGCCAACGTTTTACTTTCATGGTACGATCCACAAGGAAACGGACCACCTCAACCCAGGTAGGAATCTCCGCGTCGTAGAAATTGCGCGTCGCGGCGTTGTGAAAATTGGAAAAGTCAACTATCAAAGGAATCCTCAGGAGGAGGATACCACCCTCTCCCTATACGACCTTCCGCTGGGGATTCCCAACGCACGACGTACTCTAATTACTTTATGGGCAAAATCGGAGCGCCAGCTTAGTTCTGCTCGAAGTCCGAATGTGTGGCGCTTCCCAAATAGGATTCATCTGCGGCGGGAGCTTTATACTTCCCATGTGGAAGCCAACAACTATGAGGTCAGCCGTATTGGAATGGACCACCCCTTAGACATCCATTAAGACGTAATTCGGGATCATTGATTGAATCCCATTCGGAGCTATGCCTTTCCTAGGTTGGATAAATGTAACCATACACGTCTGGGAGGATAAGTGACTATTGTCTGTCCCCTCTTCATCCTTTCATTGGTTAAAAGTATGTATGCGAATAGCGTTGGAATTCTGATTGGGAGTGGAATGCGTGGCGCATTCCAGAGGGAGGTTGATCAACGCTGAAATCTTTATGCTTTCTCCCTTTCATAAATTCAGCCGGCGCTGTTTGCCTTGGAGGGGCTCTTGAAGGACCGCAGAACCGGGATTACTGTAGCGCGAAATCTCCTTTTTGTGCAGAGAATTTGGTTCTCCTATCCCAGAATTCCTCGCCTTAGGCTCGTGCAAAACAGCAGAGGAAGTAAAAATGGCAAATGTTCCTCAACTCCCTCACATAGCTCTCGTTTTGCTCTGGGGGTCCTTCTAATGTCCCCCCCCCAAGACGAAAGCACCGACTGCTCCTTTGTGTTCTAAGGATTTGTGTTTCATGAGTTCAGTCTAACTGGTTGATTTTCAGGCACGCTACTTGGCGACTACCTTTGGCTGACAGCTGCTGGATTAACGGATTCACTTTCGGCGTCACTCTCACTAACCCTAGCGATACCCTTTTCTTTCCTTGCAGACGCTGTTATCCGAGGTAACCCCCCGACAGGCATTCAACTCCTAGCCGCCATTCCAATCACCGTATCGTTCGTCGGTGCCGCTTTGGTAGATAACAAAAAGTCATCGCAACAAACCCCTGAGCTCCGGCATTCCGTTGATAGTGAGGATTCAGCAGCGTTACTCGACGATGATGAGTCCTAGGATGCCTCTTTAGCCCTTCCATCTAATCCTATTAGTCTTCAAAAGCTTTAAACGTTTCTACTTGTCTTTAAGACGCTGTAAATATCGTCTGTCTTGTCACTTATTGCCCCTTCTAGAGATACTCTGAACTTCTGTGATGATACCAGACTCGGATTCGTGATTCTGTTCTCTTTCTTTACTTTCATTTATCATACTTATTCGTTGTCTAGGCTAACTTTTTCCTGAGCGCTCTGGTGCTAATGATAGCATCGGTCACCCATCGTAATCCTGTTGTGACACCCGGGTGATGATGGGCCATGCCGTCGTGGTGGCGGTAGTGATGGTGATGGTGGTGGGCGTGTTAGCGTAGCATGATGACCTTGTGGCGCGCGATCGTCCGCGCTCGCACAGTTTGGCAGCAGGCAGTCGTGCGCCGGTGACCCATTGCCTGTGATTCACTGATTTTCGCCTTTGCCTACTTTCACCTAATCTCACGACCCCCTCCCCACTTCCAATCCTCCCAGGTATTACGGTATCAAACGGCTTCTACCCTATTAGATAATGATGGTCTCAAGACCTGTTGCTCAATTGCCTGTTGGCCAATTACCGGCTATCTCACCGCTTGCACCTCCAGTACCGCCACCCTCATCATCCTCGACGTCTTCATCATCCTCCTCGGTGAATCCGCTGTCGTCATCGCTCCTCATAGCCACCACATCACCCCAGCTCACTATCCCACAACAACTCTCCAGTCCTATCCAGGTGGCGACCAATTCCGCGTTTCGACCCATTGTTCCACATGGGCTGTCGCCAAACGGTGCCGCCAATAGCGCCGCAATCAGTGGCGACTCATTTTTCCTCTCTGCAATCCACTCGCTCGTTCTTTCTTCTCCAAGCGACGATTCAGCCAGTGATTCCAATCATTCGTCTTCCGATAGAGGTGAGCTTGATCTTTGGTCTCTCAATTTACCTTTTTTGCCAATTGAATTCGGTTAAAACTGGATAAAGACGGGGTAAGAGAGTAGTAAATTGAGTACTTTACGTGGGCTATAAAGTTTAATTGGTCTCACTTTTGCCCATTAACAAGGGGGTTTACTCCCGGGAAGGTCAAAGTTTGTTAGTTTTTCCCGATGTCATTGTTAACGCTTCGATTCGGCCCGATTAATAGAGGCCGAATACAGTTCGATATACGATTATAACCCCTCTCGCCATAATATTCGCATATTTATTGATGCATTTTTGAAATCGCTGACTTAATGGTCCCAGAAGTGGCTGAGCTGGGTGAAAGGGTTGAGTGGAACTCATCGGGGGTGCTATGTGTGGTCGCCAGAATGTTACTGACTGTTGATTTTTCCATCTAAGTGCTAGGGGGCTTACCAGAGGAGAGAATCGGGAGGGGGAAGCAGGACCGCCATTTCTGCATCCGGCCGCTGTGGGTGACCTTATCCCTTCTGATTTATATGGGTCGAAGGGAGAGAGAGTTGTATTTGGCTTCGAAAGAATGTTTCCAATTGTTCACTTTTCCCGCAAGATTGCTACAGGGGGAGGGTAACCGGAGGGGGACGCAGGAGACCGTAATGACCCCCCCCCCATTTCATCCAACTCGATATTGTGTTCTGAGTGATCCAATACCTTAAGTTTTATATTTGGGTGAAGAGAAAATGGGCGATATTTAGCTTCAAAAGAAAATTTCCGACTGTTCGTTTTTCCCGCTGGATTGTTGGGGGGTTACCGGAGGGGGAACATGGTAGACAGGAATGACACCGGCATTTCGACGTTGCACTCTTGGTATAGAGGGGAGAGGGGGTCGTACTCTGCGCCATGTCGTCCATCCCGCCATGTACCCCGTTTGAGGGGGAAGGGAGAGAGGGGCCGTTTTAGCCTAGAAAGTATTTTTTGGTCGTTTATTTTCCCGCTAGGTCTTAAGAGCGGGGTTTTTCTCGTAAAGGAAGGTGGTAACGATGTTGTACCCCTTCTGTCGAGGGGATAGGGACTTCGCATTTGGCCTCGAAGGAATTTTTCCGATTGTTGGCTTTCCCCGCTGGGTTGTGGGCAGGGGTACTACAGAAGGAAGTTGGAGGGGGAGGGGCATTTTGCAATTTCTCTTCGCCACTAAATCCGATTTACTGGTCTCACACTGGTGCAACCTGTGAACGCTAGTGAACCTGGAGCAAGCTCGTCGGGTCATCATGGTAAAACCTGTCAACTCCTGTAAGCTCATGAAATAGCTCTCTAGATGGCTCGACACGTCGATGGGAAGTAGCAAAAGTGCAAAATGTCCCCCCCCCCGTCGCCGAACTGCGTCGAGCGAGGTTTTACTGGTGGAGGAACTTGGGCGACCATGGTGACACCACCATTTCATCCATCCATCCGGATGTTGTACCCTGAGTGACCTTATGCCTTGCCTTAAAATTTATTGTAGCAGGTTACAGTATCCCTAGCGTTCCTGATAGTTGGTGAACACTTACAAGTAATGACCTTCAGTTCATGGATGAGTCATTGGGGGTAGCGCAATGGCTAGCGTTAGCCTATTTTCCTTTTTCGGTACAACATTAGTTGGCTACGCGCGCGCGCATCTGTGCGCGTGACACAACCAACGCATGGGGGGTGATTCGCGGAGAAGAGAGGATGATGCGGCTGTTTACGTCCTAGTTAACCGAACTGCACTTGTGTGTTGTTTTTTCAGGTCACGTTTAGAATAGATTCTCCAAGAGATGAATAGAAAGGGCTGTTTAGCGCTAGGGCTATGCTGGCCCAGCTGTTATACATCCATCGTGCGCATTGCTTATGAGACTGATTGACATTTGTCAACATGCCAATTATAGCAGCTGAACCACGTGATGAACAATGTCAGGACCAGGGTCACGGTATATTTCTAATGATCACAGATCGCCCCCTAAACCCTTGGCCAAGGTTACATCTGGTAGCTCTAACCCGATCCGAAAGCTCTGAGTTTCGAGGATGTCTTCGACAGAGGGGGGGGGGCATTTTGCACTTTTGCTTCTTCCCATCGACTTGTCGAGTCATCTGGAGCGCCCTTCATGAGCTTACAAGAGTTGACAGGTTCTACCATGGTGGCTCGACGAGCTTGCTCCAGCTTCACAAGAGTTCACAGGTTTCACCAGAGTGAGACTTGTAAACCGGAACTAGTGAGGCAGCGTCCCCCCCCCCGCCACCTCCCTCCCCCCGTTGCGGAACGGCGCCTGTTTGGCAGTTTTAACCTGATCTGAAAGCTGCGAGTTTCTAATGAGTCCCTGATGCCGTACTGGTGAATGGCTAGGTTAATGGTAATGTCCTTGAATGACTTAGGAACGAAGGTCGTCGACGTCCTTCTCGTGGTATGACCGTAGGTTTCTCATTTGCCGTCGTCGTCATCCCGTCCACGTCGTCGCCGTCGTCGTCATCGTCAAAAGTGGTCGCGTCTGTTCGCCATACGTTTTTCGTTCGCCATTTTCTTTTTTTTCCAGCAGAGTGTCGCGCCGAACTTGAACTTGACCGACTTTCGCACGTGATCCTCGATGGCGGCGCCACCACTGCTAAGCGGGCACAACTGCCGTCTGTCTCAACGACGAAACTCAATCGTTTTCCATCGTCGCTATGCCTGCCCTCGTGATCCGGTCGTCTGGTCACTTTCAGTTCGGAGAATCCAAATTCATTGAAGGCTGTCACGTCTGGCGGAGATATGGAGTGTCTCCTTGGCTAGAATACCGGAGAACTGAAAGAAAATGCTGGAGTTCCCTAAGAAAGCAAAATTATGAAAGTCGTTCTTACGCTGTTCGGCTTGGGAGGAGCAGTGCGCACTTTCGCTAGTTCCCTTTGTCAGCTCATGTTAACGAACAGGTCTTATTTTGGCCAGAGTTGTGAACTCATGTGAAGCTGCAAAATGGTATAAGTCAGTCATTCTGTTTACAAGAATGTACAGGTCTTCACAAGGTGCCTGTGCAAGCTTCGCTGAGTACCATTGGATGCCCCCACCAAGTCCAGCAGCGCCCAAACGCCGTGTTGTGCCACCGTTTGAAAGAAAACGAAAGGCGTTCTGGGAACTCCGCAGTCGCTCTCTAAACTCAAAAATGGGTTGCGGTTAAGGGTCTCCGCAGTCGTTTGAGGGCAATTTTTAAAACCTGTTCTATAGAGAACAATACCACAAACAGCTGCGCGTTTTTAGAAAACTTCCTTGAATGGGGTAGGGACCAAAGCACGTCACGCACGTCTTCCTCCACCGTTGGCAGATGCAGGACCCTCTTCTACTTCAAATTCTAACTTCACTTACCTTTAATGGCCAAGGGGGGGGGTGGGACAGGGGATCAATTTGCCCACTGTTCTACTAGAATCCAGGACCTTTCATCACACATCTATTGTGGACGCTCCCAGTAAGCCCATTACGGTCGACCCACCTCTCCACTTCTGAGATACGACCCTCCCCGCTCTTCCTCACGTATTTCTTCGGCGCGCGACGGTGAAGCCAAGATCTTCTTGAGCTTTCCCTTGCAGGAGATAGGCGAAGAGGACTGTTTCTTAAGATTTACCCATATTTCTCCAAGGATTTATGGTCAAGTGGTCTGGAAGTTAGTGCAAGAAATGGGGTATCCAGAATCAGGCCAATGGTCTAGAATTTACTCCGATAGGGTCCGCCCTGAGTAGGAAGGGGGGGTGTTGGAGGTGTTTTTGGAGGGGTTTTGAATTTTTGGAGAGCTCCTTGTCTGGAAATAGAGGTACGGTCATATAAAGATATTGCTGAAGAATCCTCAACGACGGGTCGTATTCAAGCCACTGGATCGGGGATTAAATGCGATCTATTTATAGGTGTCTGCGTTAACTTGAAGGAAAAGGACGGGTGTTCACTAACCTGAAAAAGCGAAACAAGGAAACAAGTAAGTAGGTGCAGGTACACTTGGAGTAGGTAAGGAGGTCCGAGCTGGGTGCACTGTTTTTGGGGGCCTAACAAGCTTTTCCCAAGGTTATTACCTAAAGAATAAGTAAAGGACAATTGGAACTGTGCCAAGTTCCCCATCAGGAGTTCT